CAGCACCTAACGTAGTCTCCCAAGCTGCTAAAGATAATAAACATAATGAGATAATGTCATGCCATAAAGAGTGATGCTTTTACCAATTAGTCTACTGCTTACATTTTGGGGTTGCTGAAGTTAGATCAAATGGGACCTACCGTGAGAGGGAAGAGCTGCTGCAAACACACAAAATCCTTTCCTTAGGATCTGTTTGAATGGCAGACAGTAGAAAGTCACAAGCCACCACACTGTGCTGTGTAAAAACTTTCAACTGTTTCTTTCTATGGCGGACCTGGGAGCAGCACAGCAGCAGGCAGGCACCACGCCCACAGCTGCATTCACAGCAGTCTTGGATCCAAAGAGGGGAATAAATCAGCACTTTGCTAAAGGGCTGTGGGTTTTTTCTAGTTTAGAAGTTACTTTTTATTTCAATCATCTGAGCTAAATATTTTAAGAAAAGGAGTGCAGAAGCAGGGGAGGAGAAGGATGCAGTGGTTTGAGTCCAATGGCCATCGCGAGCTGCGATGCCGTTTATGTGCAGAAACAGTGGCATCTAGTGGGCAGTGTTTCAGCTGAGGAAACAGGCTTGACAGACCGTAGAACAAGTCAACGATTACAGGTAATGATATGTTTCTCTCTTCCATAGATGAAAGATTTTCCCATGTCTGTTGTAATCCTTTTCTGTAAAAGCAATTGGAAATGAAACATTTTGCCAGCTTTCCCATCTTCAGCACATAACTTTCAGAACACTTGGGTTTCCTATTTTCATTATATTAAGCCATCTCATGGCTTTGACATGCAAATTCTCATTACCTGATGTCATACAGATGATTGTAAATCTTCACTCAGTAGGTGAGCTAACGATTTGCACACATGTATAGAAGTCTAGCATTTTTCCCCAAAATTTTAGACATGGACAAAAATTAACCTCCAATTATTCATTGAACACACTTGATCTAGTTCAGCTTCACATGATTTCAAGCCTAGCATGGCTTTGAAGGAATGACATGTGTAAAGGAAGAGAATAAAAACACAGCAGAGCAGCCACACTGAAGGACTCTGAAAAAAGTTTAATTACATAATTTCTGTAGCTATAACTAAGTATAATCCTTATGCAGTGTTAACATTTTGTGCTAATTATGTATGAATTCTCTCACTGCTGACTCATAATAAGTGCTTCAGTTAATCTATTTATACCTGACACTAAGATCCTGGGGTTTTATTAGTCCACTACATTACATGTGAAAGATTGTATATATTTTATGGACATACAGAAGGGTATAATAAGCAGGATGAAGGGTTGCTACACCCATGGTAATTGTCTAAAGTAGTCACACTCAGGCCTTCCCTCTCTTGTTAGACTTCAGAGTTTGCCAATGCTGAGCAAACTTCTGCTGTGCTGTGATGGCCTCTTCTTTGGCTGTCTCTTGGGTAGGCTGAAGGGTATTTCTCTGTTTACTTTCAGGGCCCAAATTAATTGTATGAATGGAGGTCTTGGCTTAAATCTGGCAGAAGAGCTGGATATCTTAAAAACAAATGTCGTGGCTATGATCTTCATGATCACAGGATTACAGAGGCACTGACAGGTTTCAGTCTAGGTTTTTATTCTTTACTGTCATAATTTTCTGTTCTCTCTCTTTTTCTTTACCTTTTTTTCTCCCTTTATTCTCAGTTCCAAACTTTCCCATAGGGTGTGTGCTGTTTTTCTTGTCTTGATGTACCAGAAGGTACTTCAATGATCAGTTCTACCACAGAACAGAAGTGCAGATACTTTTAAGAGACAGTACTTTTTAAAGAAGTTTAAGTGCTAGAATTCTAGGAACACCGTTAATATAGTAGTTTTGATTTGAATCTGAGTGCAGCTATGGGTTTGCTCCTTTGCCCATTGGCTAGATGAATCAACCCTACACAAATGTGGGCTAAAGACTATTAACACTACACCCATTTATTTTTTTTTTCCCTTATTAAGTAGGAGAGAACATGGAATGGGGGCCTTGGAGGTACTTCACCTTTCTATGGTTCTAGTTTTGTCCTTGTAAATTAGACAATATTTAACTTTTCTTTGGAAATACTTATATGAGATCCTTCAGCCCTAATGTGGAAAAGCAAACTTAAAAACAACAATCTCTATTCCACGTGTTTGCTTTAGGATTAGCACAGTGTTACTGAGGTAGACCTAGAAGCAGCTGTTTAACCTTACTAATTATCTAACTCACGACTGAATATAACTGGGTGAGAGTTCTTTTATTTCAGAGAAGTACTTAAATTTACTTTCACTGGATGAAAACTAGCATCATTGGGATCGACATGAATTTTTTGCTGTGCAAGAAAAAAGAGCCAAGATATCACGTAATGACTTTAACTTCAACAGAGATATGCAAATTGAGATGTGTGTATTGAGAGTATTATGAATGAAGCACACAATAGCAGCCTGATTATACTTCTTACACTCCTAGATTTAATCTATGAATTTATCTTGACAGTAGAGGAAAGCAAGCCTTTGGTGCTTTGAGATTTAAATTATTTCCTTGGAATCGTCTAGGAGAGCTCCCTTACTGGAAGGAAAGTATACTAGAAGGACCGTTGATCTATTTCAGCCTAACAAATGCTCTGTTGCAGCAATAATTACCTTATGTATCTTCATAGAATTATTTTGCTACAGTCCTCAGGCTCTCAGTATGACTGTAGTGAGGAACTTTGAAAGTTACTTTGATCTGTTCCTAACTAATTCTGTTGCCATTACAGATAGTAAGAGTCATGCAAGAGCCATCAAGACATTTTTTCATGTTGTTTTGCAGATATCATATGCTCACCATCTGACTGCATGAGATATTGTATACCAAGGCACAAGTTATAAAGGCACAGAGGCAGAAAAGGGATGGCTGGATGCCTGTGCCTAACACGACAGAATTATAAAGTAAAGGGAAAAGTTGTGCAGAGAAACTACATAATTATTAGAGCACACCAAAGTGCCTCCCAGCTGCTGATCCTGGAAAGTATTCTCATGTTTTCTTAGTGCTTCACAATCCTGAGCCACTCTTCCAGTGATCCTTGTCAGTATATAGTATGGGAGACTAAGGTAACAAGAAAGTGGATTTGAATCAAGATTTTATTATGAAACAATACACAAAATACTCATCAGGCAATTAAACATAGATTAGTGTTGCATAAATGTTATGTCTTCATACAATGTTGTTATTTAACCTAGAATGCTGTAATTACAGATTCCTCCAAAGTCCAGAAAGCTGGTCTTCTCTTCATGTTCATATTCTCCAATTTCTATGGACCTCTCCAAGTTCCTTTCGCTTCAGACAGTCTACAGATACACTCTTAAAAACATGCTCTAGAACTAATCAGTGATTCATTCTTGCCCATGCCTCAGAAACTGGAGGAAACTTGATTTATTTATTCATGCATGCAACCATTACTGCTAGAAGATATATGGTGGTCTATAACATATCTAGCCATCTATACTGGGAAGTTTTGCTGTAGCACTGGGGTTGCATTGGATTGCGAAGTGGAAAGTGGTTCAGCTCTACAATGAGCACGTAGCCAATGCAGGAATCTTGTCCTCTTCAGAGCCCATTATGAGATCTGCAGAAAAAGAAGAAAATACCATTTTAAAACATGCTAACATTAGCCATACTAACAACACATAGAGGGCTTCAAATCATTTAAGCACTTTACTGACATTAATTCTTCACAGAGCAGCTGTTGTGAAGAACTACAATAGGTAAGTGAGCCAGCTTTCAACTGTGTCCCTGCTGGAAGATTTTTTTGAGAACTGCCAACTTACCTCCTAGGGCTAAGATCTGGGAATTTTTGTTTTTGTTTTTAAATAAGTTTCAGACCTTTGGCGTCTTGTGGATTAACACAGCTCCACTGAAGTCTACCACAACATCTAGGTTTTCAAAGGTATTTGGATATGTGCAGGTACAAATAGATAGCAGAATTTTAACCAGATAAGCTATTCCTCTTTCGAAATAGATTAGACCTGACAGACACCATCTCGGTATTCTACTTAAAAAGGCTTATCCTGTTCTAAAATATACGGATGTAGGTTTGTCTTCTTGGGTTTTTGGCACCACAGATGGCTGCTGAGTAAATGGAAGAGTTTATGATTAATGCTTACATTTTACAAACCTGTATGTTCCTCACCTCAATTCATCACATTTTTTAAATGTAGTGATAAGTTGATACTGCATGCAAAACAAGGAGAAAAAAAAAAAAGGATGACGATATCACAAAGCTAATGTGCATGGAGTACTCATGGGGTGTGTCATTTTGTCACCAATTGGTTTGTGAGTAGTGCCTGGTGTCTGAACTTTGCTTTGGAGTATATTTTCCCATTGAACTCTATGATGCATATGATAAACAGAGGCAATAACACAAATGATGCTATTAGACTGATGTTGAAACTCATAAACAAAATTAATAACCCATGCAACCTCTGCGAAAATGTTCTATGTTAATGTTTAACAGCATGTGTACTAAATAGTGAATTCCATTTAAAAAATCAGCAGCTAGTAAATTATAGCACTGCAGAACAGGCTCAGCTGCTAGGAGGTCAGAATGCATCTTAAATCTCTCAAGGATGACAACTAGGAGTTTAATCCTGCCACAGTCCTACTGAGAGTAAGAGAATGAGTGCACGACTTAAACAAATGAGTTGGAAAAGGAGCACAAGCAGATGGGAAAGAAACAGGAGCAGTCTGAAGCAACCTTAATAAGAATGTTGTGTGGTCACCAGCTTATATCCATGTAGCAGAGAAATGCAGAACCAAATGTTTTATTCCCATGAACAGAACCACAGCACTGCAGCTGAAGCCTGGGACACTTATGTTCCCTGCCACTGCTCTGGTGCCAGCCCAAGGTCCTTCCTCCAGCCATTGCTTATTCTCTCCTCTTCCAGTTTGTGGCTCTGCCTTTTATTACGAAGAAAGAAATATGCACTGTAAAATGTTATATATAAAAATATAATAATAAAGATATATACCCATTGCAGGGAGGCAAAACCATTAGACTGGATGCACTAAATCCCTGTTGCAGTGGGGGATGCAGTATGGATTCAACCAGTGCTCAAGGAATTGTTCTTCTGACCTCTGCTCCAGACGCTGGAGGTAAAGCATATATTCCTATTTAAAGACAAGAAGTAGTAATTTAATTATGCAATCACTCAAGGCTAATGCCAGGCCAATGAAGCAGGAGAATTTTACAGTTTATATAAGAGCAATACATTTGCCCCTAGAAATTATCAAATACAGTAAAATGGAGGTGCAAGTCAGCTTGCCCCAACTTAGCAATACTTAATGACATCACCATCCAGATCAGTAAAGGTGCTGAGCAAGAAGTTTACAACAATATTTTAAAATTAGGAATTCTACATATACATTTCTTCATATCAACACAGAAGCCTCTTTTGGTCCTGAGGTACAGAAGGGCTCTCACAGGTAGATCTGTTGTAGCCTCTTGAGAATTGACTCCTGCTGACTCAAAATCTTTAACCCCTTATAGGATTACAAGGCAGTACTCTGAAGGGTTCAAGTAGCATGCACCAGTGCTGATTTCTGTGATACATAATGTGATTTCCATATTCATTTATAGGGGGTTGGTGTAAGCAACAAGCCATCTAACTGAAGTGGGCTGTGTACCAAAAACTTGGCCTCCATCAGAAACAAAATGTACTTTTAAAAATTTACAGTCCCAGTGCATGTGGGCTCATAAGCTTTGTGAATACTAGGTACCTTTTTTCCAAAATACACCCCTGTGGCTTTGCACAGCAGGCATTGCAGGAGTGGAAGCCGTAGCATAAACCCTCATTGCTGGCCAAGTACTCCTGCTGTCATCCAGATCTCTGCTCTTTGTGCTGACCAGAGGGTTGGCACACTGGGTGCCAGCAGGAAGCATTGGTATCCTGCCTTTTACTGTGCTTTCTGTCCTCACAGCACAGGGAGACTTGGCTCAAATCCCTCTGAGACTCCAGTATGAACTTGCAGAGAATGGGGCTACATGGCTGAGAAGGTGACCCATGATAAAAAGTAGGATCTCGGTCAAAGTAGGATTAAAGCATGTCGATAACATAAATGACAGGTTGTTTAAATCACCAGAGATGGCAGATCTTGCTGTCTGCAACTGAACGAGCTTTTTGGCTGAAGCAGCACTGTGGAAGTCAAATAGTGTCACAAAGAATTGCAAATTAAATTCCCCCAGCTCAGCATGATCTGGCCTCATACAAACAGCTTTTCCTTAAAATAGATGAACAGAGGTGGGCTCATCCCAGCATTCATTTCATTCTGCTACAAAGAATCCATACAAAATCAGTTCTCCTCCTCCAGTGGTGGCGGGGCTGCACTCAGGGATACAGCAGCCATGCACCCTCATTCACAAGGGAAAATGTCCACCTTCTGCACGGCAGGGGGGACAGGATTTTTTGTCGTAAGATATTTCCTTTTATACTGAAAACCTTGACATTTATTGAGAAAAAGTCTTATGTTTGGATTTTCTTACAGAAAGCCACATTGCGTCATTGGGGGGAGCCAGGAAGAAAGTGGGAATGTCTCAAGAAATCTTTGCTGCTAATTGTGGTAGGATGGAAAGTGGCAAGGACAGAGCAGCTGAGATCAGTGATCCAACACTGCTCCAGCCCTGGCTCCCTCTGCTCCCCACCTAGCACCACAGAACCATAGACCCATCATCTCATATGGGTCATGGAAGGGACCTGTAACGATCATCAGCTCAACTCCCTGCTCCTCACAGGACTAACTGAAACTAAACCATATGACTAAGACCGTCATAGGTATGCATATAAGTCCTGTAATACAGGAATTAATCCAACTTCTCTACTGTGATTTTTTTTTATTTAATATATATTTACTACATTACATGTAGTAATCATGGTGGTCTGTTAGAGCATAAGCCTAGATGGGAGCTGTATTCCCACTAATCTTCAAAAACTGCAAGGCTCATTTAACAGCAGCTTAGAAACCAACCCAGTCCTGAACGTTGTGGGCAGCAGTGCAGCCCAGGCCTCCGGGGTTTTGGCTCTGGTGTGCAGTCTGGATTGCCCAAGATTGCCAGCAAGCGTGGTGCAATCTTTCTGTGGCAGCTTTGATTTGCCGTGGCACTTGAGGAAGAAGCGCGTGTCGGGGCGGCGTGAGGGTTCTCTCTGGCTGCTACACAACAACCCTCGGAAAGGGGAAACCACGGGCTGGCTCCACGAGCCTGGCACATGCTGAGCTCAGTCCTGCAAGGTACGTAGTGCTCTTCATGTCCTACCGAGTTCAGAAGTGTTCAGCACCTTCCTAAAGTGAGCCACTTCTATTCATCACACATGCACAATCTATTGTGAGCTTTCTAGCTGCTGTGGGTTTTGCCTCTTCAGAAACATGTAATTTTAGCACTGTTTATTTACTTTGGAAAGAAATAGGCAGTAATTTTGAAATACCTTAAGTACCTCTTGAGAAGTGCAGAATTATATGTTACATCTTGTCAAAGCAAGTAAAACAGAAGGCTCTTTAATTATTTTACTTTTTCTTTTGTTGTAATATGGTTTAGAAATAAATAAATGTAAATATTGCATGCAAAACCAATGCTGTTGCATTAAGCTAGCAACTAAAAACTTCCCCAATATCACAACAAACCATCCTGTCTGGAGCATTCATAAATAAGTGAAGGAAAGTAAGTGATTTTAAAAGCTAGTTCAGAAATGCCTCAATCTCCACGCTGACCACTGACACCTACATCTCCTTTCTGCCTTGAGTGCAGAATGTACTGTAAGCAGAAGACATTTCCTGTTATTTAGTTTTTCAGGAACAACCTGATGAAATCCACATTTCTATAAATGAAAAGTCACTTTCTTCTCAATAATTTAATCGGCATTTTTGAACCATGATAAATAATTTCCACATTCTGCAAGCATACATTTCCTGAGCAATATTCAGCACTTACAGGATGCTACTTAACAGAAATTGAAAGAATGTAAAGGGGGTTTTTAATTTAATGGAAGAACTCTGCTGCTTAAAAGGGTGACATTCATAACATATTGCTTGGAATTAAATGTATAAAAATTTAATACTAAGCACAAATATTCAGGGGGTTTTGGTGTTGTGGGATTTTTTAGTTAATGTAATTTAAAAACAAATATCATAACTCACCCTCATTGGTTCATCAGGGAAACCAGCTTTTCTTGGTCTGCCTTCACGACGAGTTCTCAGAAGCTGTTTGGCATCTTTTTCAGTCAAAATTGGTGAAGTGTCTAAAGACAGAAAAGTAGAAATTAGATCAGAAATTACCAAAAAGTTAATTTTTTATCTGTCAGATGTAAAATGAAATGTCTCAAAACCTGATCTTTGTCTATATACAAAGTGTTCTTTCATTCCAGCCCCTTCCCAGGGGATAGTTCTACCTGTATGAAGCAAACCCTACATATTCATGTTACTTTCTAAAATGAGAGAATATGACAGCACCATCTAACCACTGACGTTAGTAGCTCTTCCAGCTCTTTGTTCTCTTCTGTGTTGCTTTACTTTTTTATTTTTCACAGTAATGAGTCAGGCTTTTGTTACAAAGCAGCAACTGCATTGAACATTTAGCCTGCAGGACCTCAGTAAAATAATATTAAAACAGTAAGCTAGTAAAATTAAACTTTTTGGTTTTACAACAAATGACTAGTGTGGTAATGTAGAGAGTAAAATATTTAATACAGTAGTATGATTGTTACAAAATCAAATAACTGGAAAGCCTGCAATGTAAAAATAGTTCAGTATTAAAAATATGAAGATACTAAAATACAAGACTGATGAACTAATACTGTTATAATATGGTCTGCAGCTGTATGTACATAAGCAGGTTTGTTATAGATAAACACCTACCTGTAAAAGTGGTCATCAGGACCAGAAAGGAGGCAAACACAAGTAACTTCTGCATTTTGATTCTGCTTCCTCTGTTCCAAAATGAGGAGCACCAACTGAGCATCAGCCTATTTGAAGTAGCTACGTCAGGCACAAATGTTTGTTTATGCTTTAACTAATTTGAGTGATAGTATGATGGTGAAGACATCTGGCCTGAAGTTCTGAATTAGGCTATTATCTGCTCACACATTCTCAGCATAACTCTGTTCCTGATGGAAAGAGAATAGAAGGCCTTTTTTTCCACTTCAGGCTCCAGAGTTAGCCAGGACATTTTAAATTTGTGAAAATAAACTGCATCACCTTACATTCAGCATTGTAAGCAATAGTTTTGGCTGCCTATAGTTAATGAAAGTTTTTTAAAAGAAACAATTGACCGTTATTGACTGTTGATCTCAAAGGCAGATGCAAAAGGGACCTTTTTGTAAAACTGGTCTCTAATTTTATTCCAGCACAGAAGCGTGTATTAATGTGGTTAACTTTAGCAAAGCCAAATTATCCTTGCTGAAAAACCTAGCAGAGATATTTTTTTATCAAATTAGTAGAAGCACACAAAAGAAAACTCACATAATTCTTCTCTTGTCAGGCCGAGTTAGTAGAAAACAGGATTATAAATGTCCTTACTAGTGAACATAGCATGAAGTAAGAATGTGGGTTGGGAAATGTTGTTGCAAACAGCTAGATTCTACCTTGAGAAGTGTGACTGGCCGGACCTCTCCTGAGCAGCACTATGCTGGATGTATGGCACTGGCATCACTAGTTTGCAGGAGAAGACAGAAGTGTCTCTTTGAATATAGCGTATGAAATAAGGAGTCAGAATTCATCAGCAGGCCTCGCACAAGGGGTGTAATTTCCCCTCCCAGGGGAAGGTGCAGCGCGTCCCTGTACCTCGGGGGTTTGCCAGCCTGGCACTGCAGAGGTCTCTTCATTTGTGCCTCTTTATTTCCTAAAGAAGTGGAGTTCATTCTGTGTGTGCCACCACATCTGCACAAGTCAGCCAGTGGCTGTGAAATCTGGCAGAGCTGTGGGTCTCAGAAACGTTCAGATACAGAAAGGTTGAAGAAATCAAACAGCAGGTCAGAGAGAGGGGCTCTGTGCACACTCCCTCAGACAGACACCTTCCATGTGTCCTTCACTTGGGTGAATGCCAGTGAGACGTCTCCTTAGCCAGCCAGGCTGGGGTGGCACAACTGCTCCCAGTTATTTGAGTTTTCCTAAAATCTGGCATAATAATGGGCTAAAATGAAGAGTGCTGCAGGCGTGAGGGCTGGACGGGAGCCACAGTGGCTAATGGCAGTGAAGCATTTCAGGGGTTGGCCAGTTCCAGGGCTCTGATGTCCCACTGTGGGACTTGGGGAAACCCGAGTGTTGTTAGACTTCATTGGCACTTACTGTCAGCCTAAAATCTAAGAACTCCGGTGTGTGTTTTATGGATTTAGGTAATTGTTCAAGATAGCTGTTTTGAAAGCGTGAATCCCTGTAGTTCCCAATAGCGGCTGTGGTTTTTTAAAACTGCTGCAGGGGCTGCAGTATAACCCGCAAGGACAGAACGAATCTGAGGGTGGGTACTACAGGAACACGCAGTGC